GTGGACTCGGTGGGGAAGGCGCGGAGGGACAAAGGGAGCGTCGCGGATGCCACAAAGCCTCGCTGCGGGCCAGGAGCTTTGGGCGGGCAATTAGTGGCCCATCTCTGAAGCCCCAAACACCGCATCTCCCACCTTCCCCGCACCATTCACATCCTTTCCGAGTCCCTGGAAGGAGGGCTATCTAGTTTTTGCTTAGAGCTAATAACTTTTTTTAATACCACTGACTCATATCTGTAGTTTTCTTAAGAACATTGAGCCCGGCTGCTAATCTTTCCTCTCCGCGGACATTCCTTCATCTTCTTCTCCACAAAAGTGTAACAGAGAAGTAGCTTTATTCACGAGAATTAAATAAACCATAAAACTTGGAAACTGTATAGGAAAACAATTATGTGGTCGCAGATATACAATGTGTTATAGAAGAAAATGTTGCAAGTAACAACAAAACAACAAAATCTGATGGGATAGAGACCTGAACATGAAGCACCCTATGTTTAATTTTAGAGGAAGATTTTATGAAAAAGTAACAATATTAGTTGAAAGATACTAGTTGTGTCTGGGTTAAATCAAAAGGATTCTTCATACTCATTAGGAAAGGACTATATGAAGGGAATTTTGAAAGGAAAAAGGAACACATGATTTATTAATTGTACAAATTAGCCTCAATTGCAATTTTTGACTAACTACAGATGTGGTTAAAGATTACATATAAATATTTAAAAAAATTTTTTTACTATTATTTATTCAATACTGCAGTGAAGGATAAGTTGTAGACCTAAATTTATTAAAGCAAATATTATGTGGAGACTATGCAGACAAAAGTACAGAGACCTCCCCTACTCTCTTCTTCATGGTTGTCAGTACTCAGTTCCTATCTTCTCATTTTCCCTATCTTTTTTCTTTTTTTAATATATCTTTTTTTATTTCAAAGACAGGTAGAAAGAGAGAGAGAAACATCAATGATGAGAGAGTCATTGATCAGCTGCTTCCTGCACAACCCCCATTGGGGATCAGTCCTGCAACCCGGGCGTATGCCCTGACTGGGAATCCAACCTCGATTCCTGGATCCTAGATCGATGTGCAACCACTGAGCACTCTAGCCGGGCTCATTTTCCCTACCTTTAATCCTTTCTTCTCCACCACCTTCCTTCCTGCAGGCTGCAAAATTAGTTTCCCCTGTCCTAAAAGATGACTTCCTCACATCTGCTTCCCCTAAAGCAGCGATTTTCAACCTTTTCCATCTCATGGCACACATAAACTAATTACCAAAATTCTGGGGCACACCAAAAGTATACTTTTTGCCAATCTGGCAAAGAAAAAAAAGTATAATTTTTATTCATTCACACCAGATGGCTGTTGTTATGTTGGCTGTTGCCATTTTTTAAATTTGACAATCTAAGGGAAAAGAGGTCAATGCCTCTGACTATTGCATGTCAGGTATTGCATGTTTTCAAAATTCTTGCGGCACAAAGGCAGGGAGAATGGGGGATATCTGTAATAGTGTCAACAATTTAAAAAAAAATCCTTGCGGCATACCATTGTGCCTGCCCCGTAGAAAATCGCTGCCCTAAAGGCACCTATGTAATCTCTTATCTCTGCACTGTCAAACTGGAAAGAGTGGTCCCTTCTTACTAGCAACAATTCCTTCTTTTCTCCTTAGCATTTCACCAGTCACAATCAGGTTGCAATTGGCTGTAACTGCATTCTTGACAATTGCCAATGAGCTCTTAATTAGCAAATTCTTTAGCAGTTCTTTTTTAGAGTTCATTGTATGAATTAGGCCCAAATGAAATTTGTGATTGGCTACAGATAACAAAATAAATGCAAATATTATTTCTTTTAGTGGTCAGGTTTGTACGGAGTATTTTCTAAAATGTCTTTGCTGTTATTTACAGGATTACAGCTATTATTTATTTATTTATTTATTTATTTATTTATTTATTTATTTATTAAATATATCTTTATTGATTTCAGAGAGAGGAAAGGAGAGGGAGAGAGAGAGACAGAAACATCAATGATGAGAGAGTCATTGATCGAGCCTGCAACCTGGGCATGTGCCCTGACCGGGAATCCAACCCCGATCGCCTGGATCCTAGGTCGAGGCTCAACCACTGATCCACGCCCAGCCAGGCAGGATTACAGCTATTAAATGGTGTCACCATCAACTGAACAGAGTGTGAGTCTTTGGAAAGTTCATCCATGTGGAAATACCCAGGTGACCATTTGGATATCCAGGCCTATGTTTTAGAAGAGAGAGAAGGCAGGACGTATGGATTGCTAGGGATAATCAAAATTGCAGAGGTGAACAAGCTCATTAAAGAAGAAAACAAGAGTTCAAGAGATGAGGCCAGAGTCCTGGAGAGTGTTCAATGTAAAGAATGGGGCAAAGAAAAGAGCCCAGGGAAGGCGGCCCAGTAGGAGAGGCGACGGGTAGGAGGAGAACCGGGAGCACGCAGTCAAAAGGCAAAGGCCTCNTGGGGCAAAGAAAAGAACCCAGGGAAGGCGGCCCAGTAGGAGAGGCGACGGGTAGGAGGAGAACCAGGAGCACGCAGTTGAAAGGCAAAGGCCTTCTAGGTAGTGCCAGATGCCGATGCAAGGCTAAGTGAGGATGGGGAGACGAACTTGCGTGGTGCTGGGCATCCTGGAAGTCATCAACGGCGAGCAACAGAAGAATGTGTGAAGATGGAACCAGGATTAGAGGAAATGAATGAATACGGCAGCAGCAAGGGCGTGAGACAGCGAGAGGACAGTTTTCCGTGGGCAGCTTGAATAAAGAGGGGAAGTTTGTTAAGATGGTAGATCTCAGGTTACATGTTCTCTTCGCAGCTAAGAAGAAGGAAAAAGAGAGCAAGAATGGTAGTGGAAAGACAAAAAATACAAGGGAAGAATGCTGCGAAAGTGACTCCAGCGCCCACCCCACTCGCTGTGCGAGAAACTGGTGAAGACAGTGAGAGCGCAGATGCCCGAGGGCGAGGGGAGGCCGATCCTGAAGCGAGAAAGGGAGGACAAAGCCCCGTGGCCGAAAAACCCGTCTCTCCTTTAAAATGTACAGTTGCGTGATATTTATTTATAGCACAAAAATCTGGAAGGATAAATGCCAAATATTAAAGTCCTTTCCTCTGGGAAGTGGAATTATGCATGGTCTGTGTGTTCTCTTTATACCTGGGAGTACTCTTTGAAATAAGAATACATTTCTTTTATAATAAAAAAGTAAACAAAATGTGATGGCTGGAGAGATCCATAAAATTGCCGTGGAAAATACTCATTTAAAGTCTACTTTGCAGAAAAATGACTGGGTCAGGGCTTTACCCATCCTTTATGATGTTTCTGGAGAAATAAAAGCTTTTTTTTTTAATGTAGAGATTCATACTACAGTTATTGCTTATGTCCCTTGTGGCAAGTATGTTAGGATGGTGGAGCGAATGTTTTGTTTATTGCATTTAATATGCCCCGTTCCTCTTGACTCTCCCTGATAATATTAAGTTTCTCAGTTCTTTGACATCACATCATTTTTGTCCCATGTCCCCCGCCCACACTTTCTGTTTTAAAAATACGCACAGCATCAGCACAGCACAAACACACTATT